CCCGAGGGAAGGTCAGCTAAATCGGTTCTGACGCCTTGGCAATGAGAAGTAGAAGTAAATGCATCCAGGGGCTCAGTGCTTAAGCACTTAGCTCCTAACCAAAAGGTCCGGGCTGGAACCCAACAGCCCTTCCCAAAGAGGAATTCTGTGCTCTGTGGGGTCCTGAAAAGTCAGAATCTATTGAATCGCAACCCTCCGTCCGTCTCCCCCACCCCCTTCTTTTAGTTTAGTCTCTATCGACGGGGCGGGCAAGGGAATGACTGACTTCCTTCTGGAAGCCACGAGTCCTACTGCTAAACTGAAAGTGTAATTCTCAAGCTACAAACAGGAACGAGACAAGCAAGTGAAATAAATAAAAAGTTCCTCTAGTTACAGAGAAGAGGTGAAAAGCCAGAGAAGGTGGGGGGTGAGAAAACACAGGTCCCAGAGATTCTGGTTCAAAGGGTCCGGTTGAATCGGAATCTTTGAAGAGAACCAGGGCGGGTAGACGGAGACGGGAGATACAGTGGGTGACTAACGGAGGGGGCCGAAGAGTGGAACGGACAGTGGTGGGTTTACAGAGGGGGGTGCAAGTTCGCAAGGAGGAGAGACAGGGCAGAAAGTCCTGGAGGGCGAGCAGAGCGGGGCTGAGAACAAAGCAAATCTGGAGCTGGTTTTGCCAGAGACGGGAACCAAGTAAAAAGGGCTCAGGTCACGGCGAGGGAGAAGAAACAAGACAGAGCGCCCGGAATAGCCCCGCCATCGGCCCGGGAGAGACAGGTAAGGAGAACGCACCTCGCGCGGGTGACTCAGGCGTGACGCGCAGCGCTGGCCCGGGCTCCACCGCAGGAAGTAGTTCCCGGCCGCGCGAGGAGCAGCCTCGCGGCGCTCGAGGGCGGAGGTGTCGGCGGCGGCGGCATTCCAGCCAATCCCTGGAAAGAACGGCGTCACTGGCTCGGCCCCGCGGATCCCTCCGCCGGGAGCGCTGTAGTGAAACCCGGGGAGCCGCCATCTTGGATGCTGAGTCTCGAACCCGAAGCCCGGCCCTTTACGGTTCTTCGTCTGGCTTGGACTTAGGTGAGTGTGGCATCGTCAGCGCCTGGGGTCTTTGGTTTCCTGATTTAGAGCCCCTCACTCTGCACTCTCGATATAGAAAGATCCCACCTTGGACGTGACAGATGAGAAAGAGGATCCCGGACTAGGGATCCAGGCCCGACGTCAGGCCGGAGGGGGCGAGGGCGCAGCGGGAGGCCGGAGGCCTAGGGGGCGTGGTGTGACCCGGAGCCGCTTGGCGACCGCTAGTGCTGGACGCTAGGACCCCCCAAACTCTCCGATCCCTCGATGTCTCTCTCTTCCCAGAGGCGGGAATCCCGCGACCTTACCTCCGGCCCCGGGGGGGGGCGGTACAGAATGGACCTGGGCTTTGATGGCGATCCCGCACCCCTCTGGTCTGGAGAGCGATCTGCGTCTGCAGTGTCCGCGGGAGGCTGGCAGCGTCCAGGGTGGGATGGCCGCTTCTCTCGCTGGCTTTGTTCCTTCGAGCCCCGAGCTTGGGACCCCTTTGACCGGGGGGGGGGGGAGTTGCCATGTTTTATTTTCATTTAGACAAAGAGCTTTGTGTGTGTTGGTGAGATCTTGTCTGCAGCCGGTGGCCCTGCCCTCGTCTCCCTTTGTGTTCTCAACTTCCCTCTTCCGGGGTGTTGGAGACGTGAAACTCACAGCATTAACTTTTCTAAGGATGACAGCCCAGGAGCTGCCGATTAATTCTAATAGAACTGTAGGAAATGAAGAAAGATACAGCTGTCTTCACTCTGCTAGTACAACTAAGGTCTAAACCGTTCCCCTTGGAAATTTTTCTATTTAACTTTTTATTTACAGAAAATATCAAACAGGAAAAGAATATGATGAATTTCCAGTGGATTTCCATATTCCTTCCCCAGCTTCAACAATCATCAGTATATTTATGACCAACTTTATTTCACCTATACCCTACCACCAGTCATATACCTCATTGCTGTCAAGTTGGAAACAACTCCTAGGTGACCCTCCAGAGGATTTACATCACTGAGGAGGAGTCTGCCTGTCTTCCCCCAACCCCAGAGGCACTGGTGGATCGGAATCACCAGAGAGGTGCTGCGGTTGGATTAGCACCAGAACGCCCCCCAGACTACCCAGCAGAACTCCATTATAGATACAAACCGGCCCAGTGCCTGTGACAGTGGGCTCAGGCATATCATAGGTGCACACCATAGGGCAGAGTTCAGATCTCTTGTTTATAGAGTCACTATTAGTAATAGTTGGCCCCTAACAACAACAAATATATGTGTATGTTATATATGTGTTTTTTAATAATAAAGTGTTGTTATATAGTGTTTAAGTCCAGAAGCACTGGTGGCTCAGTGGTAAGAAGTTGTGCTGCCAACACAGACACATGGTACAGATCCCCCAGTTATTCCATGGAACAAAAACGACTAGTCTTTTCCCATGTGAAAACCCACTGGAGGGTCAGTTATGAGTTGGTTCCAACTTGATGGTACATAACAACTATCACCACCACCATCGCAGTCAACTCATTGACTCTTCTGAGGGTTTTTGGAGGAGGCGATTGTCCATCATTCTCCTGAAGCAGATGGAGGATTTGAACTATATGCCTTTGGGTTGGCAGTGCAACTCCTTATGACTCAGCCCCCAGGCTCCCTCAATGAAACTTTAGAATGGTGTATGTATAAGGTTTAGGTTTTCTTAAACCTAAGGTGGATTGAGTCAGTGACTGGGGTAATCGGGATGGGTGTGTCAGAGACAGTGCGATTGGTACAGGACAGTGCAGAGTTTAGGGCTGTTGTACATAGAGTCGGTATGAGTCGCAAGCGACTCGACGGCACATAACAACAACATAAGGTTTAGATCCATTGTTCCTGGGGTCCCTGCACGCACTTGAAAGTCTGCTTGGCATTAGAGATTTTGGAGGAGCATTGATGTCAGTTTGAGGACTAATGCTCCTGGTTCACGCCCTGGTCTTTTCAGTCACTTGCTATGCATCTGAAAGCTGGACAGTGAATAAGGATGAAGGAGGAATTACTGATACCTTTGAACTCTGGTGTTTGAGAAGAGTACTGAATATCCTATGGGCTGCCAAAAGAACAAACATACATGTCTTAGAGAAGGTGTAGCCAGAGACTTCCTTGGATACAAAGATAATAAAGCATCATCTCATATACTTTGGCCATGTTACCAGAAGTTATTCCATCGAGAAGGACATCATGCTTGGAAAGGTGGAGGGATGGTGAAGGAGAGAGAGACCCTCAAGCAGGTGGATTGACACAGTGACTACAGCAGTAGGTTTGAGTGTGTCAGAATGTGAGGATAGCACAGGATAGGGCTCAAATCTGTTGTTCATAGGACCACTTGACAGTTGTACTTGTCAACACCTAACAGTAGTGTAATATACAAACATTTGTTGATGGGACACTTCTCACAACTTCCTCAGAACCACATCTTCTGCTGTGAGAAAGTTTGGTAGTCATTAGAAGACAGAAAAGTGCTATGAAACCTCATTGTATTACATTTAAAATTAACCCAGTTCTTTGGTAACCAGGGGTGGGAATGGAAGAAAAGAGGATTAAAAATTAGTAAGTAGATAAATTGGGTAAAGGTTAAGGCATTATGTAATAAGGAGCTGATCAGATATTGTAATTCATTAAGTTGTAATTAATGTTTTAAAGTATATGAATTTGAGAGAGCTCTGGTGGCCTAGTGGCAAGAAGCTGCACTGCAATCCTGAAGGCGGGTGATTCGAATCCACCCGATGCTCCATTGGAAAAGGAGGTGCACTATGCCAACTGGATCAGATTTGATGGTACACAAGAGGAAGGAATAAAAAAATTGTATGACTGATTGAATGAAAAGCCAGTGTAGTTTGTAAACTACTGTTTTTAAGTTCTACTTTTAAAGGTAATATTGTTTGGGCCAAATTGTTATGTACCATAGAATCCAGTCCAACCTATAGCTGACCCCTCAGTGGGTTTTCAGAGGCGTGGGAGGCGATTGCCCAGCTTTCTCCCATGTAGCAGCTGGTGGATTTGAACCGGTTGCCTTTAGGTTGATGTTTTCATTTTCATTCTCTTTCTTGTGCCTCCGTGATATGTAAATGTGAAGGAGCTTTAGAATCTCCAGCTCTAGTTTGCTCAATTTTAAGCTGTGTTGTTTTAAACTAAGTCCCAATTATGCATAGTCTATTTAATTTAAAAATTAAAATCACTTCAGAAGATCTAGTTTAACAAAATACTTTGAAATGTTCACTATCGTTACCAGTTGCCATCAAATTGATTCTGACTCAGCAGCCTCTGTGTGTTGAGTCCAGGCATATATACGTTGTTTTCAGTGGCTGTTTTTGAGAAGTAGATCAGCAGGCCTTCTGAGGTGACTGGGTGGACTGAATTGCCATTTCTTCGGATTGGTAGCCTTCTGTTTCACTCAGGACTCCTTGCACTACCTAAAGTAAAGCAATCAAAACAAAAAGTCCCACTGTTGTCTAGTCGATTCTGACTCACAGCAACATGCTTGGCTAGAGTAAAAGTGGTCGGTAGGGTTTCTTTCCACAGATAGAAGATTGTATGGAAGCAGACCGGACTTTCTCTTGTGGAGCAACTAGTGAGTTCAAACTGCTGACCTTTTGGTTAACAGCCAAGTGCTGAAGCTCTGCTCTGCTTAAAACCATCGTCATATATTAAAATTCATAGCAACCCTATAGGACAAGAGTTGAACTTCCCCACAGGGTTTCAGAAGCTTTAAATCTAAAAAAGAAAGCAGGCTGCTATGTCTTCCCATGGAGCAGCTGGTGTGTTCAAACTGACTTTTCATTTAGCATGTGAACCGATTAATGCCATTTTCCTGTATTAGAAAACTCATGTGGTTTATTTTGTGCGGTAGTCCACAAAGAAATGTTAATTCCTGAACTAATTCTAACTTCAAAATTGTCATTCTGTTTGTCTTTTTTTTTTTTTTTTCTGTCCCCCTAGGAGGAACAGCACAACATGCTGGGCTCTGGATTTAAAGCTGAGCGTTTACGAGTCAATTTGAGATTAGTTATAAATCGTCTTAAATTACTGGAGAAAAAAAAAAGTGAGTTGTCTATGATTGCCTTTTCATTTCTTTTCCAAAATACAGCATTTCAATAATGAGGCTGTCAGACCAGTGCTATGAAGTCTTAAGAAGCCCACAACTTTTAAACTTTGGATGCTTTTCGGAGGTTGAGTAATGCTAGTAGGATTGAATCACTTTATTCCAAATGAAGGCACATTCCCAGTTTTTGTGGAATAGGTAAAGATAACTCCCAGGTGAGAATTTCTGCCTGTCAGTATCTTTACCTAGACAAAGCAGATTCTACACTAGATTTACTAAGGGAACGTGGATGGAGCGTGAGCTAGAATATCACAAAAGGACCTTATTTCTCTCTCTTGGAGTGGCCCTCTGGGGCAGGACCCAGTGTACTACCGTTAAGTGACTAGGATGAATTTGTGCCTTAGCGGAACTGGCCCAGAAAGCGAGGAAGGAGATTGCAGACTACCTGGCTGCTGGGAAAGATGAACGCGCTCGGATCCGAGTGGAGCACATTATCCGGGAAGACTACCTTGTGGAGGCCATGGAGATCCTGGAGCTGTACTGCGACCTGCTGTTGGCTCGGTTTGGCCTCATCCAATCTATGAAGTAAGATTTTTTTTAATCTTTTTTATTATTTGTGTGTACCGTCAAATCAGATCTGACTGGTACAGGAGGAGATTGTCCCTCCTTCCCCGGCAGAGCGCCTGGTGGATTCGAACGGGTCGCCTCTGGGATTGCAGTGCAGTTTCTTGCCACTAGGCCACCAGAGCTCCCCGAAGTAAGATATTTTTATAGACCCAACTCACTTCTAGAATTTTAGAAATGTGTAGTGCCAATCTTTTCCATACATAGGGGGATTACTTTCCCCGTCTAAGGAATTTTTTCCTACGGTTGCCTGATGGTCTACTGTCAATGTAGAAAGAGGGCCAGATTTGAATTGTAACTCAGTCATTTCCTGGCCTTGCTTGAGGAAGCATTTCTATGTTTGAGTTTCTCCAAAAGTGAAATGAGATGGTGTTGTTAATGGCTAGAAGTCCAAAACTGTTGTAAGAATTAATTGAAATTTCTGACTGAGCTTTAGACACTATCAACTCTCATCTTCAAAGGCTGGGATTTTGTTAGCTTGTTTTACAAAATGTTAAATTTTTAATAATTCTTCTTGTTGATTAGAGAACTGGATACTGGTTTGGCTGAATCTGTGTCTACATTGATTTGGGCTGCTCCTCGACTCCAGTCAGAAGTGGCCGAGTTGAAAATAGTAAGTACAACCAATTTCACTGATGTCTTTAGTTTTTCTTATTGTTGAAAAGATTGTTGTTGATAGGGTCTGTCAGCTATGATTCACAATGATCCAAAAACAACAAAATCTGAACCTTACCTATCGTGTGCCATCCTCACAATCCCTGCCTTACTGAAGCTCATTGTTGCAGTTCATCTGGTTGAGGGTCTCCCTCTATTTTAGTGACCCCCTACCTATCCTAGCATTGTCTCTCTCTCCAGGGACTGACCCTTATGACAGAGTGCCCAAAATATGTGAGATGACATTTCACCATTCTTGCCTCTAAGGAATACTATGACTAAGTGGGAATCTCTTCCTGTGTGACTTACAGCCTCTTAAAACCTACTAGAGGGTCAACTGTGAGTCATTTCTGACTCAACAGCAATGAGTTGAAAAGATTGGTGAATGTAAACCGTTATTTTCCTCAGATCTCCGTAAGAGTAGGAGTAGTTCATCATCGTTTTTGTTTTTTTAAATTTTTTTTTTCATACTCATCATCATCTTATATTGCATAACCTATTGCTTATAGTAATGTTGGGCACATAATCTTCAAAGGTTGGACAAATGAATTAATGTGGACCGTTAATGTTTTACAGACATCAGTGTTTATAGATTCTGTAGTGAAGCATGCTTATAGGATGACTGGGTCAGTCTACAGGAGTGGTTTTTACTTTTATCTTTCTTTTTGTCTGTAGGTTGCTGATCAGCTCTGTGCCAAGTATAGCAAAGAATATGGCAAGTTATGTAGAACCAACCAGATTGGGACTGTGAATGACAGGGTAATGAATGTGTTGGTTAAGCATGAGCAGTGGACAGGGCGGGAGGATGCTACTGTATTGCCTGTAGTGATTCAGAATGTGGACACTAAAGAGTGAGGTCACTTCACAGTCAGGGTGGGAAGGCGGGATATGTGGCTGACAGTTCAGTCAGTATCCACCCCTGGCCTGCTGTATACTTCTGATCATGGCCTGCTGTATACTTCTGATCATGGTACTCTGTGCCATTCCTAACTTCCTCCCTAGGTTTTATGTCTCACTATTTTTCCTTTGCGTCATTAGTGGATGTAGAAGTGAGTTATATGGAGGAAGTTTGGTGAAATCACACAGAGACAGCAGATAGGAGTCTTTTATCAACACACCACCTTATTTAACTAGAGAATCCGCTTTGTAACGCAGAAATCATTTATGTGCTCTAAGCCTCATTTTTCCTTAATTTTGCCAGAAATTTTGAGAACAACAGAATTTAGTTAATTTAAGATCAGGCTGTTTGGTATAGATGCATCTTCGTTTACTCCTGGTTCTTTTACTTACAGCTAATGCACAAACTAAGTGTGGAAGCGCCACCCAAAATCCTGGTGGAGAGATATCTGATTGAAATTGCCAAGAACTACAATGTGCCCTATGAGCCTGACTCTGTTGTCATGGTAAGTTTAGAATGTCACAGAAAGAAAGGGAAACAAGTCTTTAGATACAATCGCCTTTGAATATCGATCATATTCTCTTCAGTAGCTTAAGTTTGTATGTGGGAGTTTAATCCTTTGCCCAGTTAGTGCCTTACTGAGTGACAATAAGTGTGCCTGCATATCCAAATGTTAAGGACCAGGTTGGATGGGTGACTGGAAGTCCTCTGAGAAAATAGAAACCTTGATACAAATGTGAAGTATGGGATTCTTTTTACTTCGTTGTTAAGGTCAAGGAATTGAGAGTTCCGCTGTGGGTAAGAGGGCATGGCCTGAATTCCAGGCAGTGCACAGAAAGCTGAGACTAGAGACAAAATAAAACAAGGTCCTGTCCTGAAGAGGCTTACAGTATACGAGGACAAAAAGGCAAATAATGTTCAGCAGTTAAGGTTGAGAGTATAGTAGAGACTTTAGTTTGCTGCTCAGACATCTCTGCTCTCCATTTCACGATAGAAGTGCTTCCTTATTATCCTTACTCTTGAGGGTACTGATGACTCAAATATAGCAGAAGACTATAGAGATGTCCTCAGTTGGAGAGTGCTGCAGCACCCAGAGTCACAACTCTTTCTTGACGAAGCCCTCTTGAAAATTGTGGACCCATCTCTAGGTCTGTTTGAGCTCATACAGCTCCCTAGGATGTAGATCAAGACCACTGTTGTGGCTACATTGCACTGAGACATCTTTCTCTAACCAGCTGGCTTCCCTCACTTTCCCAACAGGTGTACGTCAGTAAACGTTCATGTTAATCTCCACCTTAGTTTGCTTCCTGGGGAACCTGACCTGCAACATGAGTTAATAGTATGGGTTTCTCTTTTTCTCAGGCAGAAGCTCCCCCTGGGGTAGAGACAGATCTTATTGATGTTGGATTCACAGATGATGTGAAGAAAGGTGGCCCTGGAAGAGGAGGAGGAGGTGGTGGTGGATTTACTGCACCAATTGGTGGCCCTGAAGGAACAGTACCAGTGCCCATGCCGATGCCCATGCCAATGCCCATGCCATCTCCTGGTTCTCCTTTCTCATATCCTCCTCCAAAGGGACCGGTAAGTATACTCATAGTCTGAATGTAAACTCTAGAATTTTAAGAAGTGATAAGTCGACTCTGAATGTACTCAAGAATTTCAGGCTGTCAAGATTTAACAGTAAGAATATTTCCTATTAGTCTAGACATCGTATTGTAGGAGAGAATAATTTATCATTGGGATTTATAGAAAGTCTTTGGAGCACTCTTTTCATACAGGTTTACCTCAATACCTTTAGGGACTATTGCTTGTATATTTCCCTAAATCAATTAACTGCTAGTTATTACTAGGTAGACAGGTTTCCTCCATAGACTGTATTCTTGTTAGGAAGTCTTGATTAAACTTTTCTCTTGTACACATTGAAGCAGTTGATATAGTGAATTAATAAACAGCTTTTTGGCTACTGATCTTTAAAAATCTGTCATCCTGTCTGTATATGGCTCTTGCAGAGCATTATTTTTCTTGTAGAGCTCTTAAAGATACATACATTCTTCTCTTCCAGACACATACAAACTTCAGAAATCACAAATAGAGGGTAGTCTCTCTCATGTTTCCTTTCTCCTCTTGCAGTCGGATTTCAATGGATTGCCAGTGGGGACTTATCAGGCCTTTCCCAATATTCATCCACCTCAGATTCCAGCTACTCCCCCATCGTATGAATCTGTAAGTGCCTGAGCCTCTTTTATAAGCTGCAGGAGAGTGAATCCCCATGAAGAGAGCAAATTAATGGCCACAGGGAAGGCAAAGTTTTAATCAGCTCGTAATCTTGGTTTTGCTTTGGGATTTTTCTGTTGCTTTCACGCTTCCCTGGAAATGAGGAGTGGTGGCAGCCTCAGGTGGTGGCAATGCTTTGTTAGCAATTAAGCCAGGAATCAGGGAGGCACTGCAGATCTGAGAAGACTCTAGGAGGGCTCATCACCAGTCATTTCCTTGATCAACTAAGCTGAGAATCAAGTTGAGCTGGCACTGCTCTAATATTAGAATATCAAAATAAATAGCAATTTTACAAGTTCTTAGCATTCATGGAAAGGAATAGTGGTTACCAAATTTTTGTCTTAAACTGAAGTATCCATTAAATACATTTCTGCCTTTAGAAATAAATATTTTGACTTGTAGTCAGAACTTGCTATAATTGACAAATAAGGTGTCGGTAATTAATAATGCCTTGAACCTTAGGTGATTGTTAGAACTTGGGTTGTTCACTTGGTTGATCACCCTGGTTGATCACATGTTTTTTCTGTTTGTACATATGCCTACTGAGATCCATTTCTATTGTCTTACTGAGAAAAACTGGTGTGGCACTTGCTGTGCAAATTCACTTAGAATGATCCACCTATTCCTGAGCTTGCTTCCTGTTTGCTTCCTTTGGTTTTTATCTCTGACTGACGTGACTTATGTTGGGTCTGAAATTTTCCTAGGCTTTGACCTTGATGCATTAAAACATTGCCTGTGAGTATCTCTAGGAGCTAGGTAGAAGATTTTCATGTAGTATTTGAGATTGTGGTCTTTATAAGCAGTCTAGTGTTTTCTTTCTGCCCAAAAGGTGAAGGTGTTAAAGGAGGTAAGATATGGTAAGAATTTCCTTTTGTACTGCCTTGCTATTACAACCAACATGGTATTTACCTGCTTGGAGGAAGTGCAGGCTGTGGAGGGGCACTTTCTTTGGGGGAATTATCTGTTGGTTTTGGAGAGCAGTCTGTCTTTTGGAAAACACAAGGCTTATAACACCTATTTTTTTTTTTAAGGTACCTGTTTTTTCCTTTACTAACAACTTTTGTGTTTTAGGTTGATGACATTAATCCTCATAAGACTGTCTCTTCCACACAGATCATTGGTGAGTATGAATCAGAAACCCTCAAAACTAACCCCTTGCTGTTTTCTGCTTCTACCTGCCAAACGATTTTCATTCTTACTGCATATAGTAATTTTCCTCAGGTGCAATATGGTTAACACAAACTTACTTTCAGTCACCCTCATGTTCTTTCTTTCTTTTCCTGCTGCTTCATCTTCCATTGTGTCAGGAAATAACAAAAAAAATTACATCCTTTTAAAAGAGGAGTTAGAGTTAGGGAACTCTGGTGACATAGTCCATAGGGAAATAGTTAACACTGTTAACCTAAAGGCGGTACTTTTGGTGGTTCACATTCACCAGCCACTCCAAGGGAGAAAGATGGGCAGTTTCTTCTCATGTGATTTACAGCCTCTGAAAACCCATTGGATGGTCAGGTCTAAATTAGTTCTGACTTGATGGCAATGAGAGAGAAAGAGAGGAGGGGAAAATACAGTAAATCATAGGTGCATGTACAAATCAGGAAATTTTATCAATCAAAAATAAAACTATCCATAAACCAGAGGGTGGTTATTTTTCAAATTTAAGACCACTGTTTAGTGCAGTTATAGTTTATATTCAATAAAATGCACAGCTTTTAAATAGTTTGATGAGCACTAAAACCACATGTAAACATATGTTGTCACCACATGAAGGGAGAAAACATTTCTGTCACCCTGTAAAGTTCCCCAGGCTCCCTCCCGGCCAGCATCTTCACTCTTCATCCAAGAGGCAGCTGCTGTTGTGTGTTGTGAATGGCTTATCACGCCAGCCCCAGCTCATGGCGACTTCATGGCCGAAGGAACAGAATGGGTCCTGCTCAACCTCATCATGATCAGTCGTGGCTCAGACTTGAGCTTCTGTCATTTGCCTTTTCCTTCACTTGTCTGTATTTTGAGTCTTTTTCCTGGCAAAAGGGAATGATGGGCTTTGAAGATCGGATTGGTTTCTGCGGCACCTATAACTCTGTACTCTGTGTCCTTGTAGGCCCTGGACCCAAGCCAGAAGCCTCTGCACAGCTGCCTCCCAGGCCTGCAGAGAACTATGACAACTTTGTACTTCCAGAGTTGCCGTCTGTGCCAGACACACTGCCTGCTGCGTCTGCTGGTGCCAACACCTCAGCTTCCGAAGACATTGACTTTGATGATCTTTCTCGGAGATTTGAAGAGCTAAAAAAGAAAACATAGGCCTTTAAACCAGGCAACTTCCAAGTCCTGGAAGTTGGGACTGAGTGGCTTCTCCTTGTAACAAAGAATCTCCATGAAATTCTGTTTCATCTATTAATCATCACTGAGTGTACTCTCCCTATGGGCTCTCTTCCTGCTCTGCCAAATTCTGCTGCTTTCCAGTTCTCTTGCTCCTAAGAGACTAACAACTGGAGACTATGAGGCTAGAGCAGCTAGCTGCTGGCAGCTGTGCTTGTCCATTTCCTGTCAGTGTGACCCAGGTTCTATCCTGGTCTGCCCCACAGTCCCTTCACAAGAGAGTGAGAAGGTGAAAGCATCCTGAGGAGAGCTCCATCCCTGGCTGGACAGTGGAGACAAGCAGTCCATAAAGGGTCTCAATGCCGAGTGCCAGACTTCGATACCCCTCTCTAGTCAGAGGGATTTTTGATGAGAAAAATCAAGGTCAAGATATGCGTTTTCTTGCTTTCTAACATGGAGAGAAAGAGAAGACTTGGGAGGCCATTGTAACGGTTCCTGGAAGCTGAGCCCTCATAGACACATATACTACTCCTCGCTGCGGGGCACTGTCTGCCTGGATCCAGTTGCAAGGTTAATTGGGAAAGTTAATGGCCTCTCAGTTCTACTGGATTCTCAGGGAGCCCTCTGTGGCCTTTTGCTTTGAGTGCTGTGTCCTGTGTACTCGAGGGCAGCACTGTGTAAATTCCTGTTTTTCCCTATAGCATAGTCTGTTGGATTGCATCACTAGCAGGACAGGCCACCTGTTGGGCAGAAATTGTCATTCACGGCCAAGGCGGGCTTCCAGCTGCCTTAATTGAAGTACCCAGGTCTTTCTTGGGTAGTGAGCTGGAAATCCTACAGGAGAAGAGAGGTAGCTGTTTTCATTTGAAAACTTTATGATTGAGGGCAACTTCTAAAAACTTGGAATTTTTTTGGTGCCCATGTGGCTGTATTTGTTCCCTGCTTCCCCGGGTGGAGGAGATTCTTCCTATTGTAACTTGTGTGCTCCTTTGCTCCCTGTCCAAGGCCATCCTTCCCGGGGGTGGGGTGGGGGTGTTTGGCATTAGAAGATGCGACCTTCTCTACTGTATAGTGTTACCTGGACATGTTTGAAGCAACTTTTCTTTAATGTTTTTGATTGGTTTATATCATAGCTCAGTCGCTGCTAATAAAATTAAAAACTCTGCTCTACTTTCTCAACTCTTTGGTCAAGTGATGGACAAGTTTGGATTTTGGTAAGGTGTGATTTTTAGCAAGCAGTCTATGCTGACGTGTGAACCAGACCTCAGCTTTGGGTGTGTTGGAATAGGAACGTGGTTCTTTGGACCTCTGTTATTTAAACCTAGACAAAGAAAATGTCTCTGAGCTTGCTTGGTTACTGCTCCATCATTGAGAAGCTGCATTCAGCTCACTTTGCTGACCCCTCCATTACCGACAGCCGTCCTGGAACACAGGTGGGGGAGTGTTGTGTGACTGACTGGTTGGCAGCAGGTCGGTCTGGTCTCTCTTGTATCCTTCCAGCACTAACCGTGCCCTCACAGTGCCAGGATCCATAGCACAGGATCTTATTAAGCCATCTTGATTTTCCTGCCTTAAGGCTGTAAGAACGTATTGCATACATCTATAGTTTTATAAGCTATGTCATGCAAAGGTAAGCATTGATATGGCCAGAATAAGAATAAACTCAGATAGGAGGTCGCAGGATTAATAAAAAACTTGAAACCTCAGTGCCAGTGCCTGTTGCTGTCATGGTAGCTGTTCAGACGAGGGTGCGTTCTGGTGCTGGATTCCTAACAAGCTCGAGAGCTTTTGTGTCAGCATATCTACCAGTGCAGCTGTTTTCTGTGCCTGAAGACAAAAGTAGGGAAGTTGAAATCAGTCACTAATGGGAAAAGTACTAAAGACTGCAGAGAAATGTCTTTAGTGATTATCGAGATGGGATGTTGTCACTAAATGGTTGATGAGGGTTAACAATTCACAGGACAGTAGATCAAGAACATGTAATATTCAGAAATTGCAGTAACAGTTTAGCAAAAATAGAGCTATTGGGACTCCTAATGGGTGACACTGTGCATAGTCCATCTGTAACCTAAGAACATCACAGGTTTTTTCTGTTAGGGACATATTGCCATTGTACAGTATATAAACTTACTGAGCCAGTTACCCACCTTGAGAGACTTCCTTTCTTCACCAAAGGCCATTAGAATGGCAGAAACAAAAAGGTTAATGATCACAAGTACCATCATGACGACACAGGTGAAGATGAGAATGGAGCCCAGGACTGGGTCTATAGCAATAACCTGGGGGGACAAAACACCGACAGGTGAGAAGGTTGGCTGTGCTGTTTGGGATCTATCTAAAAAAATTCAGAGCACAGTGGCTGGTACCAAAGGATGTTATTCAGATCCCTCTTGTGAGCTGGCAGTTGTGGAATAGAACTACAAGGAGCAGCAAAAGCATGTGAAAGAATTGTAAAAAGTAGACCAGAAATGACAAGTGCCTCGGCTAAGCCAAGACATTTTAGAATTTACACACAAGGGTATTCCAGGACAGCTTGACAGCTTAGCTATAGAAGATGGTTTGGCTTTTGTATACTGATTTTTCTTCTAGTATAATTTTTAAAAATATACCAGTATTTTGAGTTCTGCCACTGGGTTGCTTTTTTTTTTCTCCCCAGCTAAAGAATTATTTCTCTAAGTCAAGGCTTATTAAACTGGTTTTCCTAAGAGTGTATCAGTAGTTGAGGTAAGTGTTCTTTTCTAACAAGTCCTCTATTTTCCTTGATGTGGCCTATTTATTGCTGTTGCTCAGACCCTCTTTAACTAACAGAAACTCGAGGTTCAACACTTAAAATACCTTGATGGAAATCTATAGGACAGATTATCTCCAATTTCTAACTTATCATCCACTTACCTAAAAGTACATAATTATGACAGTACTAAGGCAAGAAAATACTTGGTTGAATGTATGATGCAAGAATTCTTAATTTTACGACATTTCCCCTTACTGCACAGTTACATTGAGAGCAGAAAGGTGGGATTTTTGTTTGTTTTTTCAAAGTAGATGTTAAGAACTTTCTTATGATTTCTACTTTTAGGATATAAAGTGCACTGTGGGTGAGGACTTCATGCTCTAATGATTGGAGCATAAAACTACAATATAACTTGTTAAAGTGCCATTGAGTTGAGTATGTGACCTTTTGAACCACAAACCTGAACCTTGCCCTGGCCTGTTGTAAGAGTTATTTCAATACTGCAGCCAGAATAGTTCTTTTCCTTGGATCTTAGGAGGGTGGTAACTTTACTGAAAATTGTTAGCCTTTTGTTAGCTATTTTAGTAGCCTTTGACCTCTATATTCCCAGTATAATTGGTCTTGATGAAAATCTTGCCAGTTTAAGGGCTAGATTGCCTATTTCTTTTCTTCCTCACCCAATTCTTTTCTTTTCATACTACTTCTGGGATCACAAACCCTCATCTGGGTTTCCTGCTTTATTTTTAGGTAGACATTCACCTCCCAGGTAAAACAGAACCAATGCATTCTTCCTGAAACTGCCTCTTCCTGGTTTATTTTCTTAGTCTCTTCCTTTGTATACTTTCAAAGAACCAATGACAAACAGCACATCCGCCATCCTTTATGTTAGCCTGGCCCATAAATTCATAACCAATGTCCTCTGGCAAAGGAGTGAGGAAAGGACTCTGCTTAGAAAAGGACAGATTCCGTAAGCGGTAGCCACTCCATCATTGTGTGCATTGGTAATACTGTCAAACAAATACAAAGGACCTAAGCATGTCCAGGGGCTCAGAAGGGTCAATTTTAAGCAAGTGTCCTTGTTAACATAGGTTAAAGCAGAGAGAATTCTGCAAAGAAACAGAATGGTGATTTTTACCTCTCTGTAGTGAGAGATTCCCATCAGGAGACCAACGATATTCACTGTGGCGCTGAAAAGGGTTCTGTAGTCAGAGACGATCCACCCAAACAGCAAGTTAAACTGAACAGAAGGAGAAAGTTCAGTTAGAGAATGGTGGGGGCTGACAGTACTTATAACTGCCTGAAATACTTGATGAGCAAGAGGCCAATGCAGAGCAGTGGAATAAAGATTAAAATCCTCTGCCTAGAAAAGTACACAAAGTTCTTTAATTAACTAATGCTTTCATATACATATATTTGACTTTCATATTATCCTGTAAGGTAAATTTTATTTCCACTTTGAGATGGGAACACCTAGATTTAAATAATGTCTAGTGAAGCTTTGGTGGCCTAGTAATAAGGAATTGTGTTGTCAATCCAAAGACGAAGTTCAAATCCACTAGCTGCTCGGTGGAACAAAGATGGGCAGTTTCCTCTTAGGCAATTTACTGCCTTCCAGAATCCACTGGAGGACCAGCTATGAGTCAATCCTGATTTAATGGTACACACTACCACAACTGAAGTATGGAACCATGACTCAAACCAGCTATCTTACTCCACAACCTTTTCTCCAAAACTCAGCGTCAACTTAAACGGATGGTCTTCAGTACAGAGACCACTTTTTAAAGAAAGCAGTGTGAATCTTAAAGACATTTTAGAAAAGGGAAAACCCTGGGACCTGAAGCTTACAGCAATGGCATAGCCCATCAGCAGGATCAGGATGACCAGCAAAAAGCCCACCACCTCGTCCCAGGCTTTGCTCAGCGTGCTGTCGATGACTCGCAGCCGGGGGTCATGACGCAGCAAGCTCCACAGCTGGAGAGTTCCCAGCAGAACCAGGAAGCCCGTGAGGTAAATGACAGCAGAGTTCATTCTTACTGCCTCATAGAAGCTGATGAACCTGTGCCAGAAAAGGCTGACAATGAATGTGGATTGTATGCTGGCATCTACGCCTGTTTCATGAGAGATGCATTACTTGGAAAACCATAGATATGAGTCGTTGGTGGATTACAGTTCTGCTGAGATGCTCCTGAACAAGACCTTGTCTAAGATGTGGGCAGTACCCCACGAGAGGCGGCAAAAACATTCCAGCTCAGGCTTTCACACCACAGAGATTAGAAAAGCTCCATTTGACAGTATTTGATGTGCAAAATAGTCCTCCTCCAATACACCATCCCCTTTTCCTTATGACTCAGGGTGAAGTCTCTCTCAGGGAGGAGTGATAGGGAATGGCAAAGGATACACTGACAAAGAAGATTAATCAGA